TTCTAGACTGGCCTGCACAATCTCCAGACCTCAACCTTGAACACACTTGGGATCACCTCAAAAGATCTCTCTCAGGTTATGAGAGTGCTCCTACAGGAGTTCATCAATTATGGGAAAGGGTGGTAGTGGAGTGGGGGAAGATTTCTGTGGAAGAGTGTCAAAAATGGATATAAAGCATGCCTAGAAGGGTTGAAGCAGTTATCAAGGCCAAAGGAGCTCATACCAAGTACTAGATAGTTGGATTTTTATAAAGTCAAAAAACTGTCTGCATGGCATGTCATATTCAAATGGTTGTATTCTATCAATTCCTATTTAAATTACTTAATTCTTGGACTCATAGAAAGCCAAGAGTAAGTACTTTATTCATACACTCATGGTTTAGGGCTAGAGTTAGAGGTTATTATGTTTAGTCATAGCTAGTGTAAAACATGCAAACATGCAGACAGTTTTTTGAGCCACTGTACCTCCCTTGGTCTCAGCTTATGTGCTGTACCCTTATGCAAGCCAGGGAGAGGTCTGGGACAGGGGTTGGGGATAGAATAAGGCTTGGCCTTAGCAATTGAGTCAACTCAGAGGGTAGTACAGAGTTGAGGGCAATACTTAGTTGATATTCTGACTGAGGTGCTACAAAGTATGCAGGGGTTAAACACATGAGGCTGGTCCAGAGTAATGAACATGAAGCCAGACTTGTTAATAAGCTATTAGCAAGATGATTAGCAAGGGGTGGACAGCCACAGAAGCTGTGCCAAGACTAATAGCCAAAGTGTGGGTGACCAGCATAACTGGAGTTGGACACAGGATTTGTACAGTAAGCAGAGATCAGGCAAGAGGACTAAACTAAATATAGCACAAACATCAGAGAACAGACCAGAGTTATGTCTGAGTGACCTGGACATGGATGTGGGAGGACTGGGGTGGAGCAGCATGAGGCCAAGAGGCCAGAGTGGACCAGAGATAGGGGTAAAACACTGGACTTGAGTTATCTAGGCCAGAGTTGGATTATTCAGGGCTGGAGTTGGGTTTTCTAGGTCAGACTAGGTCCAGACTGGATTGGGCTTGAGTCTGAGAGTCATGTATGTGACATAGCCTACAGATATTTCTACAGTCATCACTGCCACAACTTGTGTTTCATCCAGGCCAAAAATCTATCTCATACTGATACAATATGGGAAAAAAACTGTATATTCCCTGTGTACCACAATGGGAACTGCCCAAACCTCATACATTATGAGCAAGTGTACTGTATTGACAACATTTTCCCAAACTGCAGTAATGGTATGCCAATTCTCAGAGACATTTCCATCCCACCTTGGACTACACATGCAGAAAATATTTGGGCAGGTTACATGGCTGATGATATCTTTCTTCTCTCGCAATCTACAGTCATCCACTGCCACTTGCACCACTGAATTTGTACTGTCTGCCAAAATCATAACAATGGCCTTTTTGTTTGATCAAATGTGAGGATCTGTTAGTACTATAATCAACCCATGTAGTACACCAATGTATATTGTATTATAATCCACAGATTTCTGTTATGTGCTGTGGAGTACTTTTGCACCTTATCATGTATGCACCAGCACTTGCACCAGCACCAAAAAAGGTATATCATGGGATCTCGATTATCTGATGACATTGATAATATTTACTCCTCACTCCCACCATCACTATCCTGCCTGTTGTCTCTGAGCCTTGGACTTTGAATGGCCAGCCATACTATGGCAAGTTTAGACAATGAAATCAGACCCTCCTCCACAGGCAAATTTGCATGACATAACAACACTCTCCTTCCTTCTTTTGGTATATCTCTGCATGTAGATTGTAGATTATTAGTATCCTGGACATACACAACTGGCATTCCTGGCAAAGTCAGGACATCTCATCTTACTCTTGTAAGCTACAGAAATGAAGCCAGGACCTTTCTATATGTTTTCTGCTAAGTAGCAGTTTCAGATGCAGTCAATCAAGTCCTTGAGATGCCAGACTCTAGAATTCCCAAGATATAATACAGTTATACTACTGATCATGCCTTCTGGAACAGCTTAGAAATATGGTACCAGATGTGTACATGCAGTATGCTACTTCCTACACAGTTCTTTTGACTGACAAGGCCAGAGTTGTTGTGTTACCAGTGTTTGGTGCAAGTGGCAGTGGATGACTGTACTGTTCCTTATGAAGGTCACCCACCAGCTTCCAACTGCTCCCCTGATGTGTCACATGATATACCAGCAGCATCTTTTTGATGTCTTCTGAGTTTCATTGAATAGTACCATATTCTGAAAAAGCAAGAAGTAGGATGGCAAAATGGGTGAGCTACTGTGCATGCACCTGTGGGAGGGAGAGGGGAGACCCTCGAACAATAACAGCTGGGGGGATCAACACCAAACTATGGGAGATGGTAGGGAACCATATACGTACATGGAGAAAAATGAACCACACCATTTAGAACACCCAATCCAGAGCTATACCCAAAGTTGCCTCACCACCCTCTGGGTACAAAGCAGGCATATCTCGATAATTGCTGCACAAAACTGGATGACCAAGGCATCCCCAGGAAGGGTTAAGCGAGGAGGACGAACTGCCCAAAAAGCAAAAGGACTGCAGAGAAACATGTGATATGATCTCAAGCCCTCAAAGGTGGGGAGAGGAGAGTTGCCTGAATGACAATGGTTGGGGAGATCAACACAAGACACTGGAGATGGTTGGGAACATCTAGATGATGCAGAGAAAAGGAAACTGCAGTGGCTTGACCACCCAGTCACAGGTATGCACAAAAGCATCACACAGCACTCAAAACACAAAAACAGACATATCTCTCATCAGGAAGTGAAAAAATGGTTTAAACCTGTTTAAACCCATCACTGACTGGTCATGACTGTGATTCTGTCATTCCCCACTTCTCTGATGCTGTAACAACCACCTGCAATTGGATGAATGAGGCATCCCTGGGGAGGGACAAGCAGGGAAATGAACAACCCAAGAAGCAAGAGAAACAGCACAGCAACATGTGAGATACAATGACGAGACCTCAGGGTGGACCTTCCCATAAAAATGCAAATAACTCTGGAACTGCTTAACACATGAGGAAGATCCTATGATCAACAGGAAGCTATCGTTGAGTACTATGTTAGATTTGGCAAGTTGTACATAGTCCTTCTGAACGCATCCACTCCAAGACATGAGAATTACTTTCCATTTTAAGGCTTTCACACTTTACATACTGTTAACTGTGCAATTAACTTTCATGCCCTTGTGCTTATTGATTCATTGTGTCTTGCACTTATGTACACATTTCTCGTTACTTACAAAGAATGTAGCACATCTCACAAAGACCACCCTTGTCATGTAAAACTCCAGGTTCAACACCCAAGCATTTCAGCATTGTTACACTTAGAGATATATAGCTTTACTGTACCTTTCACCTCAGATGTTGTTGCTACTTGTGTGCAACTGAGATTATTTTATAGGTAAATCTATTAGATGTTGTTGCTACTTGCACACACTGAGATTGTTTCAGATAGATATATCTGTAATACTACCATCCTGCAAAAAAGCAGAGACATGGCACCTTACATCTATTATATTTATGGCACACATATGGAGTATGACGCTGCATCTGTAACATTAAACAAACAAAAATAAAACAGCTGATTGTGACTTTTGCAGTAATGTGCAGAGAATTTGCAGGTGGCTGTGCCCACAGCTACTGACTAAGCAGGGCACATGCATGGGGGAGAGTGAGTCAGGGCTACACACACTCCTCCTTGCCCGTTCCTCGGGACTCGTTTCATGCTACTGTACATAACCCATGTAATAATGGGTATTTTGCCAAGAAATGGGCCCAAATTCACTAGGCCAGTGATGACTTGTGGCATGGAGTGCAGTCACATGAATTTGCAGGTGGCATGCCATGGGAATTTCCTGAAGGAGCAATCCTGCCACCAGGTGGGAGGGGCAGGGGAGGGGGTCGAGTGTTCAGTGGGCCCTGTGGGGCATCACGGCCTCGTGGATTGGGCAGGATGACTGGGGAGGGTGCCAACGAACTGTGTTCACATCCTGCCTACATTTATCTATTTTATCTGCCCTCCTAGCTAGTGCAAAGTGGTACAAGGTGGCTGTGTTAAAAATTATGCAGGGGTAGTATAAAAAGTTGCACAGGAGCAGTGCTGCAAAAGTCACGCATTCAGCTGTTTTATTTTTGTTTGTTGAATGTTACAGATGCAGCGTCATAATGGAGTGCATCACCGGTATTACTAGTTTTTTTACTGCCTCGTCCACACTTGCAATTCCAGCATTCCTAATTTGGGCAAACGCCGGCATGTCACGTGATATGTCGGGGGGGGGGAGGGCGGTTGAGCTGGGACAGCTGTCACCCACCGACTGGGTGCACAAGTCAAGGATAGTGACTGATCCCTAGACAAGATTGCAGAGCCGTTGGAAAGGAGGATGGACGTTTGAACTCCGTGAGCGAATGGTTGCTGCCATCAATGAACAATGGAGGTGGTTTAGGGATGCCCAGTAGTCATATGGGATGACCATACCGCTGACATGAAGGTTATCGGGCTCCGCCTCGCTCCTGATGTCATCTCCTCACCCAACCTGAACAATTACTGCAATCCATATATCAATTCCGCCCGGAAGTCGAACGAGCTAGCGGACTATATAATGACCTATCCACTTGTCAAGATTCTGCCCTTCGTGGCCCTATGGCATTGTGGCTCCTCATCATCCTAGCATCTGCCTCTCGCTCGGACGCTTCAACTCTGCTAGAACCGGCGGACGCTCTCCTTAGATTCGCCACCCTTCTGCCAGATTCGTCGCCCTTCCCAACACCTCTTGCAACGTTGCTACTAATTCAAACTCTCCAATTTTATAGGGTCTTGATGTCCTGCGGCTGTACTCTCATATCGCAACATCAGCCTCGCTTTACTTCTCCAATTTTGCTCCATGCGTTCTATCACCGCCGTCGACCATGTGTATTAAAAAACATACATACAATTTCAATTTGACCTATCGACCATGACAGGTTCCTCCTGCAGGCGCTGGTGGACGTAGTCCCCTGCAGCGACGGGTTCGTACTTGGGCGGCCTCTCAGGGGATACACAACTCGGCATGGGCTGGGCGGGGTCATTGATCTGGGTGCCGTAGCGACAATCAAGGCTAACTTACCTTGATCTGGACGTGGTAATCCGTGCCGAAGAACAAAGGAATGGAATATCGGCGAACGCCACTCCCTGTTGATCGCTCTATGCACGATCGACCTACACACGTCGTCTTCCAGGGGAGCACATGAGACAGGAATCAGAGTGTATCCCCGGATTGACACTCACTCGTCCATCGTGCAAGCTGGTCACCGATACTAGTTGCAATCAGTCAGATCATTCAGATGTCATTCAATCCTCAACGCACTTGATAACAAGCGTTCTGGGGATCGGTGGTGCCATTACCCATTGCTTCTCGGAGTTCAGTAGTTGAAGAGCCTGAATATCGGATTCTTGCCATAAGATGGTGAAACACTGAATGACATTTTAGTTCGGGATTCTAAATGCTTCGATGAAAACTCCGACCTCGAAGCTGTGACGAGGTTTGTTAGGGCATATTCAAGGGTATACGTAGGATTTTTACTCTGAGTGGGCACTGACTCCAACGATACCTCATCTTCG